TCTCTCCTCCTGGGATCTCGGTGCTCAGCTGCTACCCTTAGCACTCACACCCCTGCCCACAAGGAGCCACTTCTGCCCCTTGTTCTAGTTACTGAGTCAGAAAATAGGTGGAGTGTGTCTGGTTAGGATATCACTAACTGCAGAGGAGGAGGGGTGGGCAGGAGAGGCTCAGCTTAAAGTTGGTTAAGTGATTAACACAAAGCTCCAGCTTCAGCTCTACGGATTCCTGGTTCAAGGCCGGGGCAGTGACTTGGTGTAACTCAGTTCTAGATAGTTTCTTCCCAAGTACTTCATGGTCGGGAAACTCCAAGTTCAATTTATCCAAAATAGAGAAGAGGAGGGGCCCTCTTGCCTCGGGTTACACTGCGAGACCCTTCTCTTTTCCCCACTGTTGACCACCTGTCATTTGTGTGACTTGCAGAATGCCTGCTGTCCCCACCCACATCTCCTCCACACACCTGTGGAGGTGCTCAGGTAGGACCCCCAGGGCCTCCTTATTGTTTTCCTGAGTCTCTGTCAACATTCAGGATTCGGGACTCCACCTCCGGGACCCTCAGTGGGCTGAAGCAGAGAGCAGACAGGAGGCCCAGCATGGAGACCCTCCTACAGAGAGCCGCGAGGCCCACCCTGCACACGGGCACACACCGCTGGCACCAGACCTGGGGGCCAGCCTCTGAGCTGGTGCCCTCTTCCTACCTGGAGGAGAGGCAGGACTTTAAGGCCAGTCCGTGGCTGTGCTTTGCCATCTTGGGGAGCCCCGTGGTCCCACTGGTGAAGAAGATGACCATGGGATCCCACGTCTTTGACTTAATACAGGTGTGGTTGGGGGACGCTGATCTGCAAAGAGATTCAAGACAAAAGAAAAGATGTCACGCTTGCTATTTCTCCATCTTCTGGGAACCAAAAGAAGCACGGAGTCAGGAAACTGGAATTTGCAACACTGGGGAGAAACGGAGCCCTCCAGGGTCAGCCATTAGAGTGACTGTGGGGTGACATGGACAAGTGGCCTGGGAATGGAAGGGGGTGATGGAGAAAATAGAGTGGATTCTAAGAAAACCAATGAACACTCCCATAGCACTTGCTGTGTCCCAGGCCACGCCCTGAGCTTTGAGAGAGAGGAGCTCAGTCCATGCCCAGACCCACCCCAGAGGGGAGCACGGCCCTCAGGAGGCCCGTTTTGCAGAGGAGGAACTTGCCTGGAGACATAGCAAGGGCAGAGCCAGGATCCACCCCAGACCCCTGGACTGTGGTCTGGGCTCCTAACCTCCCTGCTAAGCTTGTGATTGACACAAAGTAGCTTCACAGCAATCTAACTCCAGACCTTGGCGTTGAGGAGGAGGGGAGAGAAAGCAGGGGAGGAGAGTGGAAGGCTGGGTGGGATCGCTGGTCTGGACGGGCTTGAGCTGGCAGGTGGGATCTGTGGCTCCTTCCGTCTGCTGTGACTCTGAGGACCTCCTGGCTGAGAGGCTCCTGGCAACTCTGACGGTAAATGGCAGCTTCCTGCAGTGTTCAGAGAAAGCTGCAGATGGTCTCAACACTGCAGGAGGCCCTGGCTCTGCTGCTCTCCCTGCCAAATGGCACCCTCTTGCCTTGGGCCATTGCAATGGTGTTCTAAGAGTTTTCTTGGTTTTTCTTTAATTCTCTATTTTCATTTAACTCTCTGACTTTAGCATACCGTGTAACTTTTCTGTAACGTTTGATTTTTGAGGTTAAAAATAAAGAGCTTTAGAACATGAGGAACACTCCTCAAAGGTTTGCTAAAAAATTTAAACCGCACTGAGATTTCATCTCACTCCAAACAGAATGACAATTATGAAGAATACAAGTAACAATGAATGTTGGCGAGCATGTAGGGGAAAAGGTTCATTCATATATTGGTGGTAGAACTGCAAATTGGTACATCCATCTGTAAAGCAGTATGACAGTTCCTCCAAAAACTCGAAATTGAACCACCATTTGACCCAGTCATCCCACTCCTAGCTTTATACCCAAAGGACTTAAAATCATCAGGCTACAGTGACTTGGCCTCATGGATGTTTAGAGCAGCTTGATTCACCATAGCTAAGCAATGGAACCAATCTAGGTGCCCTTCAACAGATGAATGGATAAAGAAAATGTGTATATATACACAATTGGATATTATAGAGCCATAAAAAAGAATGAAATTATGGCATTTGCTGGTAACTGGATGGAACTGGAGACTATCATGCTAAGTGAATTAAGCCAATCCCAAAAAACCGTAAGCCAAATTTTCTCTCTGGGATGTGGATGCTTACACACAATAAGGAAGTTTAAGGAAGAATCCAAGTTCAGTGGCTTAAACAAAGGGGCATGAAGGGACATGGGGATTGGGAATAGGAAAGACAGTGGAATGAATTGTAAGGGTCCATCGAAACATCGGAGGAAGAGACCACAAGAGACCAGCTTCATGCAATGAGCAGGAGGGAGTTTATTGAAGAGGATCCTAATTCAGCGTGCTGAGGCCCAAGGCTCACTCAGGAAGGGAAAGCGGCCCAGAGCCCACAGCAGAGGTCAAGCAGAGCTTAAGTACACTTTTTGGGGAGGGGGGGGCTTTACATACATCAGAACAAATCATCATGAGGCAAGGAAAATTGAACAACAACTCTGAGACATGATTAGCACATTCATTGGCGGGAACAGGTCGGGCGGGGGTGATTGGTCACTCCTAAGTGGGGTACACCTTCAAACTGATTGGTTCGGGCCCTGTGACAAACTGCACAGGGCCCTAGGCTAAATGGCCAGTAGGGCATTGTCTTAACTATCTCAGGAATTTCAGGTTCTGTGTGTAGCAGAGGAAATTAGCAATATCTAGTCTTTTACATTTTAATTCAGGCTTTGCAGCTTAGAAACTTTACCCTTTCAGAATCAGACATTACTTTCCTATGTTCCTATATGAATACACAACCAGTGTAACTCCAATTTATTTTTAAAAAGATTTGCTAAAAACTGCAAATGAGAGGATATTCCTAAAACACTCAGAATGATGCCTGACACCTGGAAAACAGGATCTCCATTTTCCTCACCCCATATTTTTGCCTGTTTTGAACAAGAAGTCCAAATGAATGAATGAAAAGTATAACATGGGTTCTAACAAAGGGTATCCAAGACTATGAGCTATATTTTGTTCACCTTTGCTAGATTAATAACTAGCATATGGTAATTACTGGGTAATTGTGTATGGATGGATAGTTGGATGGTTGGAACCTGCCTTGAAAAAATCAAGAACACATTAATGTCTTTTTTTTATAACACAAGATACTCAATCATTTCACTTAGCCTCCAGGAATTCACACCTCAGTCAAGTGGCCATAAATAAACTTCTCCTTGTGAATTGTACTGCATTATTGGCATTCAATAAGAAGCTCCTATTGATTGAACTAGAAAGAAATTATAGAAAATAACTATTTAACATCCACAGAATGACATGCTGCTTTTATGTCTTTGGTTAAAGACATGACAAATGGTGCATTCTGGGGACTTGTTTCTTGTCCCAACCGGCAGGACACATCAACGTGGGCAGCGAACCTAGATGGGGAGGAATGAAGGGACAAAAGACACGAAAGGTGACAGCAAGACAAAAGTTCTGATCAAGCTGCAAACTTTTATTGTTCACACAGGGGTATTTATATGCTGGGGATGGGGGAAGCTCTCTAATCAACAATTGCTGGATGTGGGTGGTAAAACTGTAAAGGTAAAATTTCTAAGCTGATTGTAAGCTGCAAAGTCTGAGTTAAAGTGTAAAAGACTGGGCATTGTAAAGTTTCTAAATTGCAAGGCCTGGGCTAAAAAGTAAAAGACTAGGTATTGTTAAAATTCCTCTGCTACCCCCAGAACCTATCATCTCTGTAGCTGTTAGGACAATACTGGAACTGCCCAGGAAATATTTCCACTGATTCCCTGGTTGTTTAATAGCTAAGGGCTCTGAGTAGCTCAGCACGTAGGTATCCAGGCCCCAAAACCAATCAGTTCAAATGTGTACCCCGCTTAGGAGTCACCAATCACCCCTGTCCAGCCTGTTCCCGCCAATGAATGTACTAATCATGTCTCAGAGTTGTTGTTCAATTTTCCCACGCCTCATGATGATTTGTTCTGATGTATGCAAAGCCCCCCGCCCTCTCCAAAAAGTGTACTTAAGCTCTGCTTGACCTCTGCTCTGGGCTCTGGGCTGCTCTCCTTTCTTGAGTGGGCACAGAGCCCCAGCATGCTGGTTCAATAAAACTCCCCCCTGCTTATTGCATGAAGCTGGTCTCTTGTGGTCTCTTTCTCCGAAGCTTCGAAGCTTCGTGGACCCTTACAAAACTGCCAGCTGCAGGGTGTCTGATGATCCTGATAACCGCAGGATGTTCCAGGGAGATAGGTAGCTGCAGGATGCCTCCCAGGCAGGATGTCTCCCAGGGGGCTGTCAAGCTAATCTTTGAAGGAGAATTTCCTTCTAGTTCCCGACATTTCCCCCTTTCTTATATAAAATATTTGGCCATACCTTACCGGCCATGTTTTTAGGGGGTGACAGAGGCTCTGTTCCTCTAGGAGGCCTTAGAATATCTCCCGATCTGAGCGAGCGTCTTCACTAGGAGATTTCGAGGTGGCCTTGGCATGTTTTTGGAGGAGACGGCTTTGAGGGGGGGAGCATGCCAACCGCCATCACCAGAGCGTGACACTCAGAGGTCTTGGGTTTTGGGATCCGTGGATCCATCCTCCTATAGTCCTTCCTGCACCCTCCGTTATTATGGCCTAACGTCTTCACTCCGTGCGTGCGTCCTCCCCCAAGCGGAGGGGCCCATGGAGAAGCAAACCCTTATGGCAAGGGCAGAAGATGGTTGGTCAGAGCTGTTACTTATACTTTTATATAAGAGAGAGAGAGATCTGTGGGGATGTAAACTTAAGAAATAAGCCTGTGAGAAGGGTAGAACATCCTTTTAAATATTGGCAGCGCGGTCTTCCATCTCCAGATGATGATAGTGGACCTGTATGGGCTTAGAGGCCAAAATATTAATCTGTTCTTTAATAAATTTTACCAGCCTGTTGGGTGAGGAATAATTTTGTACTGTTGAGCAATTTCCAAAGGAAGTAACTCCAACATCAATATCATAGGTATTATTCTGCATCGTGCCTTAAAGACATGATGTAAAAGTGCCTATAGGCTGTACTGTAAAAGGAAATCCGGGTTGGCATGTATTATCATTGTTTATGATAGAATTAATAGGAACTGCCATAGGCATGATTGCCCCTGTTGTCATGCAGAGCCAGCAATCACCAGCAAGGGTGGGGTTGGAATTATTAAGCAAGAAGGTAGTTTCCAAAATATCTAATGTATTGGTATCTAAATCTGGGAGCTGGGATTTAGGCAGCATTAAGGGATGATATGTGAGCTCAGGGATCTGGGGTTTCAAAAGTTTGATTATCTGAAGATGCTTGACAGCATCAGTGGGTCCTCCACCATCGGAGACCCCTGTAGGGCCTTAATGGGCCAGCAGGAGGGTTTACCGACAGTGCCTTGGCATCCAGCTGACTGTAACTTGGTGTACATGCCTTCTCCTCCCGGTCAAAGAGAACGGGGTATAATGAATAGCGGTTCCCCCTGCTGCATGAGTTTTAGTTAGGGTGGCTTCAAAAAATTGTTCTCCCTGCTTGTTAACACAATTTGAGGCTAACACACAACAAGAGACATGCATTGCCTGGGTATGCGTACAAGTTGCAGAACAATTTTGGAGAGCTTTGCTTGTACTGGGGGGAATAATCTTTGGCTTGTTAACACATACCCATTCAGGCTGATGAACTCCTCCAAGTTTATGGTCAACCTTGGCTCGGAAGTAAGCCACCT